ACATACTATTATCACTGACCATCAACTTTCATTCCTCTTCCCACAGTAGTTCGGCCAGTAAGTGTCTCTATTTAAAGTATAAATGATGAATGACATACTGGTATCACTGACCATCAACTTTCTTTCCTCTTCCCACAGTAGTTCGACCAGTAAGTGTCTCTATTTAAAGTATAAATGATGAATGACATACTGGTATCACTGACCATCAACCTTCTTTCCTCTTCCAACAGTAATTTGACCAGTGAGTGTCTCTATTTAAAGTATAAATGATAAATGACATACTGGTATCACTAACCATCAACCTTCTTTCCTCTTCCAACAGTAATTTGACCAGTGAGTGTCTCTATTTAAAGTATAAATAATGAATGACATACTGGTATCACTGACCATCAACTTTCTTTCCTCTTCCCACAGTAGTTCGACCAGTAAGTGTCACTATTTAAAGTTTAAATGATGAATGACATACTGGTATCACTAACCATCAACTCTGTTTCCTCTTCCCACAGTAGTTCGACCAGTAAGTGTCTCTATTTAAAGTATAAATTATGAATGACATACTGGTATCACTAACCATCAACTCTGTTTCCTATTCCAACAGTAGTTCGACCAGTAAGTGTCACTATTTAAAGTATAAATGATGAATGACATACTGGTATCACTAACCATCAACTCTGTTTCCTCTTCCCACAGTAGTTCGACCAGTAAGTGTCTCTATTTAAAGTATAAATTATGAATGACATACTGGTATCACTAACCATCAACTCTGTTTCCTCTTCCCACAGTAGTTCGACCAGTAAGTGTCTCTATTTAAAGTATAAATGATGAATGACATACTATTATCACTGACCATCAACTTTCTTTCCTCTTCCCACAGTAGTTCGACCAGTAAGTGTCTCTATTTAAAGTATAAATGATGAATGACATACTGGTATCACTAACCATCAACTTTCTTTCCTCTTCCCACAGTAGTTCGACCAGTAAGTGTCTCTATTTAAAGTATAAATGATGAATGACATACTGGTATCACTAACCATCAACCTTCTTTCCTCTTCCAACAGTAATTTGACCAGTGAGTGTCTCTATTTAAAGTATAAATGATAAATGACATACTGGTATCACTAACCATCAACCTTCTTTCCTCTTCCAACAGTAATTTGACCAGTGAGTGTCTCTATTTAAAGTATAAATGATAAATGACATACTGGTATCACTAACCATCAACCTTCTTTCCTCTTCCAACAGTAATTTGACCAGTGAGTGTCTCTATTTAAAGTATAAATAATGAATGACATACTGGTATCACTGACCATCAACTTTCTTTCCTCTTCCCACAGTAGTTCGACCAGTAAGTGTCTCTATTTAAAGTATAAATTATGAATGACATACTGGTATCACTAACCATCAACTCTGTTTCCTATTCCAACAGTAGTTCGACCAGTAAGTGTCACTATTTAAAGTATAAATGATGAATGACATACTGGTATCACTAACCATCAACTCTGTTTCCTCTTCCCACAGTAGTTCGACCAGTAAGTGTCTCTATTTAAAGTATAAATTATGAATGACATACTGGTATCACTAACCATCAACTCTGTTTCCTCTTCCCACAGTAGTTCGACCAGTAAGTGTCTCTATTTAAAGTATAAATTATGAATGACATACTGGTATCACTAACCATCAACTCTGTTTCCTCTTCCCACAGTAGTTCGACCAGTAAGTGTCTCTATTTAAAGTATAAATGATGAATGACATACTGGTATCACTGACCATCAACTTTCTTTCCTCTTCCCACAGTAGTTCGACCAGTAAGTGTCTCTATTTAAAGTTTAAATGATGAATGACATACTGGTATCACTAACCATCAACCTTCTTTCCTCTTCCCACAGTAGTTCGACCAGTAAGTGTCTCTATTTAAAGTATAAATAATGAATGACATACTGGTATCACTAACCATCAACCTTCTTTCCTCTTCCCACAGTAGTTCGACCAGTAAGTGTCTCTATTTAAGGTATAAATGATGAATGACATACTGGTATCACTAACCATCAACCTTCTTTCCTCTTCCAACAGTAATTTGACCAGTGAGTGTCTCTATTTAAAGTATAAATAATGAATGACATACTGGTATCATCACTGACCATCAACTTTCTTTCCTCTTCCCACAGTAGTTCGACCAGTAAGTGTCACTATTTAAAGTTTAAATGATGAATGACATACTGGTATCACTAACCATCAACTCTGTTTCCTCTTCCCACTGTAGTTTGACCAGTAAGTGTCTCTATTTAAAGTATAAATTATGAATGACATACTGGTATCACTAACCATCAACTCTGTTTCCTATTCCAACAGTAGTTCGACCAGTAAGTGTCACTATTTAAAGTATAAATGATGAATGACATACTGGTATCACTAACCATCAACTCTGTTTCCTCTTCCCACAGTAGTTCGACCAGTAAGTGTCTCTATTTAAAGTATAAATTATGAATGACATACTGGTATCACTAACCATCAACTCTGTTTCCTCTTCCCACAGTAGTTCGACCAGTAAGTGTCTCTATTTAAAGTATAAATGATGAATGACAACTATTATCACTGACCATCAACTTTCTTTCCTCTTCCCACAGTAGTTCAACCAGTAAGTGTCTCTATTTAAAGTATAAATGATGAATGACAACTAT